CAACTATCCCAACAGAAAATAATTTCTTCCAAAGATAAAAGTGGATCAAAGAAAAAGTCAGCTGTGGAATACTGTGGTAGTAGTGGTATGGCATTCCAGTGAAATGCAGGATTTAACAATGACACCAAAGGAAAGCTGCCAGGGAAAATTACAGTGAGTTTTGGTGCTTTTCCAAATTATCACTTTCTGCCCTGAAACTTAACAACATTGAAACTGGATTCAGAAGCCTCCACGGGGGCTGTGATCAGCAGGTTGGGGACCAGCATTTTGATTTTTATTGGCCTACTTCTCCAAAGAGACTACTGGAGGCCTCTGTACCGTGTGTTGTTCTTCCAGTCTTGCTGTGGAAGGAAAGAACAGGAGACAAAGGAGAAATAACCCAACACATTGCATCGAGCCTATCCAACAGGCCATTTAGAAATAGTGCTGAAACACATACACACACAGTTACTCCTTCCCCGCTCTCCTCTCCACTACAATATGTTTTCATTGATAGAGTCCGTCTACAGACTACACTCAAACAAGAGTACAAAATGCCATATAACCTTAGACGCTATTTTTGCCCCAAACACCAAGACCAGGATATATATTACACATTTTTTAATGTGAAATCCCTTTTGGCCTCAGAACAAAGTCCAAGAGCTCATTTAAGTATTTTTTCCCCCAATCAATCACAGCAACCTAAAAATATGGACACTCTGTCCAGCAAAAACTGAAATTCACGTCTGGCGTTGTGTTTCCCCTTTAGCCCAGCTAAAATTGGAAGTCCAGTCTGGAATGGATCTGGAATGGAGTCTTCTGCTCCAACACAAGTTCTGTAGAAGAGAATTGGAAAAAGAAGGATAAACAATATGAGCACTAACAAAATGGAAGGAGGCAAGCATGCAGTCCTGTGCAAGAGGAGAGGAGGCTAAAACAGCAAATGTCCTGCCTATTCTCTGCAATACAACCACCTCAAGATCCAGTATGATTATCTCAGGCTTTTTAAGTAAGAATTGAAAAAAATCCAAAGAAACCTTTTAGGCATAGGACAGGAAGTGAATGGCCCCTAAGGGAAAGCATTCTGACTGGCTTTAATAGAGTTTAAACTCAACTATCCCAACAGAAAATAATTTCTTCCAAAGATAAAAGTGGATCAAAGAAAAAGTCAGCTGTGGAATACTGTGGTAGTAGTGGTATGGCATTCCAGTGAAATGCAGGATTTAACAATGACACCAAAGGAAAGCTGCCAGGGAAAATTACAGTGAGTTTTGGTGCTTTTCCAAATTATCACTTTCTGCCCTGAAACTTAACAACATTGAAACTGGATTCAGAAGCCTCCACGGGGGCTGTGATCAGCAGGTTGGGGACCAGCATTTTGATTTTTATTGGCCTACTTCTCCAAAGAGACTACTGGAGGCCTCTGTACCGTGTGTTGTTCTTCCAGTCTTGCTGTGGAAGGAAAGAACAGGAGACAAAGGAGAAATAACCCAACACATTGCATCGAGCCTATCCAACAGGCCATTTAGAAATAGTGCTGAAACACATACACACACAGTTACTCCTCCCCCGCTCTCCTCTCCACTACAATATGTTTTCATTGATAGAGTCCGTCTACAGACTACACTCAAACAAGAGTACAAAATGCCATATAACCTTAGACGCTATTTTTGCCCCAAACACCAAGACCAGGATATATATTACACATTTTTTAATGTGAAATCCCTTTTGGCCTCAGAACAAAGTCCAAGAGCTCATTTAAGTATTTTTTCCCCCAATCAATCACAGCAACCTAAAAATATGGACACTCTGTCCAGCAAAAACTGAAATTCACGTCTGGCGTTGTGTTTCCCCTTTAGCCCAGCTAAAATTGGAAGTCCAGAATATTCTAGAAAAGAAAAATTCTAGTTGACTTCATACCTACTCTTTTTTTAATGACCTAGCAGCCAGTGTGTCCAGATGGAATCATAGGAGAGCTGAGGTACTACATGGCCTTCAAAAAAGAAGATATTCTCCAAGAAGCTTAGAGGTAAGGAGGTCGCAAAATGATTAGCTACTGAGGATTTTTAGTAATCCATCATTAGCATGATTTGAACTGATTATGGAAACGTTAGACAGAAACCATTTTATAAACTTAACTAAATATCGTAGACCAAGGGCATGCCATCTCTACCTTACTCTTCTCTCTCATGTTGAAACAACCTTACCCTATGCACCTGCCCTTCTTCAGCAATCCTGGATTGCATGTTCTGACTCAATTTTAACCAAAATGGATATTCTGCTGAGGTTCAGAAATTGTGAGAGCATGTAATTCTTTGGACTAGAAATTAATAGTATGACTATTGCTAGTAATAAGATCATTCCAAAACCATATTTATAAACTTCATTAAGTACATTGTTCCTTGCTTTAACTATCTCCCAGACTACTTATTAATGCTATCCTTGGTAGTAGGCATTTCTAAAGTCCCAGAATAAAGTTCACAGGAGAGCCCTGCAATAGCAATAGCACTAAGACTAAATGCAATAGAAAAACAGGAGCAGTCATGCTGAGCCATAACTGTTCGCTGACATCACCTTTTGACTGCCTGTGAGTGATTCATATCATCAGCGATCTGCTAATTGAATATTAATTAATTTAGTAAGCTCTTTACCATTGCACAGACTATCCTATCTGACCTAGTCTCTACCCACCCACCCACACACACACACACTCATACAAACACACCTCTGACATCATGTTTTGGTGTGTGATGCCAAAATATGAGAAATATTTAACAAGAATAACAGAAGAAGCATTTTTAAACAACTAAAACTATGGAAGGGACCTGGATAATGAAGGATGCTTGTTTTCTGTTTTATTTAAGGGTTTTATTGCCATACTTTCAACTCCAGAAAATGCACAAACACACACATTTTTAAAGACATCATAGAGCCTTGCCAGGATTAGAGTTATACCAAACATATTCTACACTGCCATTTTCCCAACTAAATGAAACAGAACAAAAACATGGAGAAGGAATTTACAGGATGAGTACTACAAAAACATGAAAATTCTGCTAGAGGTGTGCTTGGAAGTGAATAGGGGTGAGGAATGAGGAAAGGGAAGACAAGAGTTAAAGGAGGATGACCTAATATTCAAGGCAAAGAGCCTACAGTTTGAGAGCTATCTCAACATTTGAGACAAATGTCCAGACTTTCATTCTAAGTCAAATATCCAAACACTGTATTCCATTTATAAACTGTAATTATCAAGATTTCAAATAGACTTACAAAATCTAATCATACGGACTATGTATGCTCAGAAGCATCAGAGCAGAGGTTCTCCATGAGTCAAATAATTATCTCTTCACTGCGATGCGTTGAACCAATCTAGAATTTTCCACTTTTTGATTCTGGATGCCAATCCTCTCATTCAGTTTACTATAAATGGGAGGGCCTCTGACAATAACCCTGCTGTGATATATAACATTATATATACACTACCTTCATACAACCCATAAAGTACATTGTAGGCTACTGTCTACCCAGGAGCAAAGACATACCAAAAATGGTATAGGCCTTTTTATTCAAAATTTATAAGTTCTTCACACTCAGGTCATTTTCATGAACAAAGAGAAAAGAAAAATAAGGAAAAACTTAAGACATGACAATTCCCATTCTACATTGTATGGGAACTTAAAGAGATTTTGATGAGTATAAAGAAAATGGAGAACATTAAAAGTACTTTGAGATCACTGGCCTAATTATCAAAGGCATTATTATTAATATTATTAATGTTCTTACACTCAGGTTATATTTAGTCATTTTTCTTCCCCTAGAGGAGAAAAGAATTAAGATAACTTCTCTCCTGCTCCTCTCTCTTCTTCTCTCTTTTTCTGTCTCAGTGTCACATAGGCTCTCATGTTGGGTAATTGCATAGAAAGGTCCCCAAGGTATAATTTATACTGCTCTGGCTGCTCTCAAAGCCCAGACTCCTGGGCATAACAGCCCTCATGCCAGGGATTCTTGCTTGCATAGATTGGAACCTAGTACTCCATAGGCAGCTACATGGGATTATGAGATATTTGTTCTACCTATTTGGCTGACTTTGGGGTTAGAATAGTCTTAGGTCTTTGTAACAAGAGAAAAAACTGTCTACCAAAATGAATGGCTAAGATACACCAAATCAAATCATGTCCTTAATTGGATAGACGAGAAAGAAAAGAACAAGCCTGACTTAGAGTCCATTCAATTGCAACTCTCTCACAGAATCCTGGTGCTAGATGAGGAAACAGAATACAGCCTTCCAACCTTTTGATCCTTTCTATTGAAGATCAGTGTTTGAGGGGTTTCAAAATTAGTGACCTGGGAAGTCCCCGACCAGCAGCTAGCATTTCCTCACCCCATGAACCTGCCGCTGTCCCTTTCACGGGGCTGGTGCCTCCAGTTCAGCCTTTCTGAGCACCCTATGCAGCAGCGACACAAAGCAGAATTGTTAACTGAAGAAATCCTAAATATCCAAAGCTGCATCGAACAGGTAGAATCCCTTGTTTTGTTTTGTTTTTTTCAAATTTGAAAATTTGTATTCCACAGAATTCTCTATAAAACAAGTTTTTAAAACATGGCATCTCCAAAGCCATTTTTCTATTACAGTATTTATAAAAGTTGGAGTGATGTTTACCTTAAACTCTAAACATTTATCAGTTGACAGCATTCAACTCTTCTATAACTTAAGAAACATATAGAGAAGAAAACAAATTCTGAAGTCTGCATACTGCTTAGGCCTTCATATAGGTAATGTGAAGTACACACTGATAGAAAGATATTGGCAAGAGGTTAAATTTCTAAAAGTGTAAAAAATAATAAGAGAAAAGAAAAAAATTTTACTCCAGGAAAACCAAGGAGATAGTCAGCCTAAAGGTCAAAAATATATAAAAACAAAAGGAAACAAACACATTGGGCAGCCTCTTGCATCTCTGTAACATTCAGAAAATAGTCCAAGTATAACATGAGGGAACAAGGCACCTGGTGCTCACCTAGTGCTGCAGTCCATGGAGCCCTCAGGTCAATGCACCTCCAGAAGGAGGAAGCAGCAGTCTTCACTACAGACCAAGCTGTGTGCCTGTGATACTATGTCATTTGTAGCAAGAATCCTTCTTTCACAGGGAGCTATTGAGGAGCAGCTCTGTTCCCAAACAGGGTATTCCAAATCGCCTTGCTCGTGGGTTTCCCTGAGGGCCAGACATTAGGAGAACTTGCTTGCTGTATCTGTAAAGGAAAAGGAAAACAGCAGAGGTCTTAATATAAAATTAAGTCACTCGGTTTTCAAAATACCAGTATTAGCTGTTATTAGAAGCATCATATATATGATGTCACTAGCAAGTATGAGAAGGTATCTATAAAAATATTTAATGGATATCTAACTTCAGTACAGAGCTCACAAAAATGTGATCCCAATGTAAGAATAAATATAATTTCATTGGGTCTCTTAAAGCCTCTCTATTCAAAGTGTGATTCCAGGACTAGCAGCCTCGGGATCACCTAGGAGCTTCTTAGATATGCACAATCTCAGGCCCTACTTCAGACCTTCTGAAACAGAATCTGCATCTTGACAAGATTCCCCAGGTGATTTGTATGCAAATTAAAGTTTAAGAGGCACTGTCTTAAAGATGGGTGATTCCAGGAAAAGGGTTGCCTCTCACCTCAATTGAAACCATTCAATTCATATTCATGACTAGAGAGGGAGAGGATTGTAAGAATGCTCTCACATTATGACCTTTCCTCTCTGGTTTTTAAGTAAATGTTCAGGGGCCATTCTTTCTCTTTCTTTCTTTGAGATATAATTACAATTCACCATTAAAGGGTACAATTCAATTGTTTTTAGCTTATTCAGAGTTGTGCAACTGTCACCACAATCAATTTTAAACATTTCATCACCCCTAAAAGAAACCCCATACCCTTTAGCTGTCACTCCCCATTCTCCCCAGCCCCAAGCCCTTGGTAAGCACTAATCTACTTTCTGTCTCTACAGTTATGCCTATCCTGGACATTTCACATAAATGGAATTGTATAATATATGGCCTTTTATGATTGGCTCCTTTCACTTACCGTATTTTCAAGGTTCATCCATGTTGTTTATCAATTCATCTTAATCCTTCTCATAAATGACTGTTATTCTTTCAATAGATATGTAGATGAGGCAATGTGACCCCATCAGCCACTCCACTCAGTGGAGCTCCTGAGTGCCACCACTCCCTTAGGAGAAGCCTTTCTCTTCCCATTACTAACTACCCTAATAAGGAGGTCTTTAACACAGTTCCCTTTTTCCATCTTCTCCCTGGGACTTAGTAGCTCAAGTACAGTTGGCCCTTGGCCAAGTTTCTCTCCACAACACCTGCAGGCACTACCGGTGCTGCCACCTTATGCCCATTTCTTGAAGTAGTGGACATTGGGTCAGGTGCTATCTTTTTCCCCAAGAGCCCTGCTCTTTGCTGTTTCCATACCAATCAAGGTTGTGACTCATGACAGAGTGTGACCAGGAGAGGTCGAGGGTGTGCCATGTGGGAATGTATGCTTGGCACCTTCAAATAACCAAGAAGCAGAGAAAGAAGCAAATGCAAATGCTCTTGGGGCTAAAGCGGGCCATGATTTTGCAATCTCTCTTCCTGATTCTCTTGGCTATTTCTTCAGCTCCCATTTCTCTTCCTCTCCTCAGTTTACTTTCATTTCCCTATGATATTCTTCATAGAATAGAGAACCTAAACATCTCTCCCTGTTCATTTCTACCTGGATTGTTTGCTCTTGCCACTTCCAGTAGCACAACAGTTGTGTACTTAGACATTTGAATATGCTAAATTACTTCTATAAAAAACAGAGTCAGTCTAAACATTCTGCCCTACTGAACAGCAAAACAAGGAAAAGGTTTTTTGTTCTCCAAAATCAAGATGTTCTTCTTCAATAAATGAAACTATCCAAAGCCAAATTTTTGTTATGAAACATTATCAGTCCCCTCAAAAAACTAGTGTAGTACAAAAGCACTGTCCCTACATGCTCATGCCTGGGTTTGGGACCTTGTCTGAGTTCATTTGGAGGTCTGTAGTTCCATTACAGATTGTATACTACCCTGTATTCCCTGAGTAGCCCATATATCCTCAAATCATGCCCTTATTCCTGGGAAAGTCTTTCCAAATTAAGACTCCAGTTTCCTCAAGCCTCACTGCCACTCTACTGTATTCATTCAAGAAATGTTTGCATAGTACTACATGCCAGCCCTGTGCTGTATTCAAGGCAGACAGACTTTCAGCTCTCATGAGGTTTTGTTCCAGGGGTGTTGGGGGAGGCTATATAATGGTAGACTGCAGGCCTAATGGACCTGTCATGTGCTTGGCTGATTCTCTCAGTGTGTCTTGACGAGTCCTGCTCTCCCTGAGTGAGGCAGGCAAGGAAGACCTTTCTGTCTTGGGCAGCAAGGAAGAAAAGCAGGCGGATTCATGTGGTCCTGGCTGGTAGCCTTGCAGATCCTTCTGCCTTCAACTTACTTTGGCCCTTGAATGACCCCTGAGATCCACAGAGGTATCACAAGGGCTGAGAATCATAGCATGAATGGACTTCTTGACATTATTGAATTCTTAAACAATAGCTTGCACATATTAGGCATTGTTCAGAAATTGTTCTTCTACATAATCTATGTAATTTATATAGTTTCATATTATTTAGCAGTATAAATTACATTGTGGGTTTGTTTGTATGATCATCTTTTAAGCCTTGGGAACTCAGAACAAGGTGTTACATTCCTTTCCTGTTTTCTGCTCTTTTTGTCTTCCACAGGGCTGGGAATACCAATGGGAGCTTGTTAAACTTTTACTATTCATCAGCTTGTAGAGGAATACATTATATATTCCCTCTTGCTAGGGGGTCAAAGCAACCAACCAAATCTAAAGACACATTTGGAAGACCTGTCAATGTAAACAGGTGTGTATTTACTCTGACTTTGCTATTACAATTTGGAAAAGCTTCATTTATCTAACACCCTTGGAGAATGTGAAAAGTCTGAATTAGTTTTCTACATAATTGACACTAATCCCTTTAAATACAAAATGTTTAAAAATCTGCCTTTAATAAAATATTTTCAATAAAATAGATCACTGCCTTTTTGAAATATAGCAAATATAATTTAACCTCTTCTTATTTTCTTGGATTATTAGCATTCAGAACTTGAATAAAAAGTAATACATCTTTGGGAAATATTAAAATATACTAGGTTCTTTGCTCTACCCCAAATAATCCAAGGCTGGTGTGTTTTTGTGCTCTTTTGTGTCCTAGTAATTTTCTTTCTGTTTTTTTTCCACTTCTTTTGTTAAACTATTAGATAGTACCTTTTGCTACTTCCTGGGTGCTTGGCGTTGGCAGTTCTCTTCCTAATCTGTGTCCTAGGAAACCAGATAACCAAGTTTATTAGCATTGTGTGTAAAGTAAGAGCAAATAGGTTTTGAATATGAGAGTCTTTCCTGGAAGTGAGTAGTATTGGCTTTTCAAAAGCAGTTCAATGTTCCTTTTCACTGGCTCCAATATTCTCAATTCCCCTACAGATGCCCTAGATTGTTGGATAAATTACTTTCTGTAGAAAACTGAGCTGTTATCATGGTACTTCACTAATACAATTCAACTAGATATAATTTTCTCCATCAAAAGTTCCCCTTTGTTTCTAAACTATTCTTTTTAGTTCCTCTTGATTTCTGATTTCAAACCATTAGTCCTTACAATATGGGCATAAAGAGAACCTAAAAAACTTAGAAAATGTGTAAGATTTAAAGATCTTCTTATAGATTACAGGAAAACTTTCAAATACAATGTTTTTCTTTTTCTGATAGGAAAAAGGCCTGAGTTATAGTTTTAAGTTAAAACCAATGTATTCAATTTTAAAAATGTAACAGCTACCATTTAAAATTGAGTGTCCAATATATGCCAGGTGTACATATTTTCTTTCCTATACTTAGTACAGGGCTATGAAGTTTATAACAACCTTACTTTACATTTGAGGAAAACTGAAGCTAACAGACATTAAGTAACTTAACCAGGGTCATAGGAGTATTAAATATAACAGCTGAGATTCAAATTCCACCTGGAATTAGAAGTCTCCATTATCTTTCTTTCTCTCTTCCTTCCTTCTTTCCTTCCTCCCTCCCTCCCCACTCCCCCTCCTTCTTTCCTTCTTTCCTCTTCCTTCCTTCCTTCCCTTCCCTTCCCTTCCCTTTCCTTCCTTCCTTCTTCCCTTTCCCTCTCCTTTTCTTTTTCCTTTCTTTTTCTCTTTCTTCTTCTTTTCTCTTTCTTCTCTCTCTCTATCTTTCTCTCTGTCTCTCTCATCCCACTTGATTATGGTGTATGATCTTCTTAATGTACTGCTGAATTTGGTTTACTAATATTTTGTTGAGGATTTTTACATCTGTGTTCATCAGGGATATCAGCCTATAATTTTATTTCTTTTCCTTCCTTCCTTCCTTCCTTCCTTCCTTCCTTCCTTCCCTTCCCTCTTCCTTCCTTCCTTCCTTCCTTCCTTTCCTTCCTTTCCTTCCTTTCCTTCCTTCCTTCCTTCGATCCTTTCTTTGAAACAGAAGTTTACTTCTCAAATAACACACTGAAAGATCCTGGACAGCAAGTGGCTCTGCTTTGCCTGGTCAATCAGAAACTTGGGTCTCTTTCATACTGTTTTGCCCTCGTTAAGGATTTTCCCTTATTGCATGTTCAAAGCTCAGTTTAAGGCACATCTGGTAGTTTACTTTGGCGTGGCGACAGCTAAACAAGAGTGAGCATGGGACCCTTCAAGTGCCTGTGTGTTGACAAAAGGAGGAATAGGGGATCTGGATGCTCCTGGATGAATGAGGAAGGTCAAGGACTGGGGGTGCTTATTTCTCCACCTCTAACCACCTCCCTTCCTCTTGTACCCAGAACTAGCTTTAAAGCTACTCTCAAAGTCTGTATCCTTTCTGTAAATCAAGTTGCCTTCCTTATACCATTGCTTAGAGGTAATAAGAGTGTATTCAGCATGTATTCTGATAACGTGACCAACTTGACCATGGACTTACTGGCAATAAATGTTAACCAACCGAGTCTATAATTAGCAATTATTATTACAAGATAAAGTCAAAGTGGTTCTTCTCAGCTGCTAGATTCTCCCCTTGAGGGAAGAGTTGGGAGTGACTTGGAGTTGAGACTTTGATGAGAATAAGTATGGGAGTAGTTCAATAAGAAATTGTAGGCAATTTCCTAAA